CGGTCCTGGAGACCATCCTTCCTGCCTCCTCCAGGACCTCATGCCCCTTAGCTCACTGAATCCTCCCCAGACTCTCATGAGATACGCAGGGGCTGATATTGGCCTATTGTAGAGCAGTCCAAGGAAGCTAGAGGTTAGCCGGCCCACCTGGGCAAGCGAGGACCTAAGGAGGAGAAATGGGGGAGTTAAGTCTTCCGGACTTTCGGGGAAGTTTTGGAATGAAATGTTGAAGCTGACAGAGCTGGTACTGCTCTCCCAGGTAGCTGCAGATTAACAGAGAGGCTCCAAATTCCACCCTTCACTCTACGTTACTGCAACGTGGGGGCCTAGCCCTGCACTCAGCTCGGGGGCTTCCTGAGCCAGCACACTGGGACGGGGGCCTCAGGGCAGCCTGCACGTGGCTCCTCTGGGGCACCAAACCCTCGGAACCTACAGGGCACATCTGTGGTCCCTTCTACAGGCCAAGAAAAGGAGCAGCTCCTCTTATAATCAGTGGATTCAAGCTAGTTTGCTGAAAGGGAGGCTTCCTAGGTTCCCATACCAGCAGGTGTGGGCCTGGGTCACAGAAACTCTTGCTCCTGCCATGCATGTGATTCTAGCAGACACGCTGTCTGCCTGTAAGCAATGGGCTCTGTGTGGAAATAAACAAGGGAGCAGTATGTTTCCTTAGGAACTATTTTCAGGAAGAATTTAAACATTAATGACACCTGTAATTGTACCTGAGCACTTTAACTGGGACAAACACCCTGGGCCCATGGAATGGGGCTGAGGAGGGATAACACTGGCCTCGTTGCCTGTTTGTAATAGGAATGAAGGCCTGGAATTGTGCAGTGCACAGCATACACAACAATGCCTGGTAGCCTTTTGTCAGAGGCAAAGAGACCAAGAAAATCCGAGAGGGAATAATCGATGAACAGTTTGTCCGTTCTGTAGCGTGGGAATAACTAAAACTACCCAGTGGAGTGGACAAGAACAGAACTTACTTTCATAAAGCATTTTATGTGGTGTCTCGCAAATATCAGGCACTCCAGGACCAGTAGGTAGGCCTCCACTCTCTATAGTGATCATACCCAAACAGGAAAAGAATGTGTGACCAACAAGCTAGAGAAAAGGAAATGAAATAATTAAATACAAGGCAACAAAGTAGAGGGAAAGGGACATGAAACAAGTGAAGCAAGTGGAAAACAGTTGACCCAAATAGGGAGGTCAATCTAGCATTAAATGTTAATGGGCTGATTAAAATACGAAGTGTGCTAGATTGGATGAAAAACAAAACCCAGCTACACACTGCTTGCAAAACAGTGCTTTAAATATAGGGACATAGAAAGATTCAAAGTAAAAGGATGGGAAAAGACATTCAATGCAAACACAAGCTGAAAGAAATTCAACACAGACAAAATACATCAAAGAAAGTAGACTTCAAGGCAAGAAGCATTCCTGGAGGTGACCATAGACACTGCCCAACGAGAGAAGTGTAAATCTACCAGGAGGAGGTGACAGCTTAGCTTTCTGTACATCTTATAACATAGCTTCAAAATATATAAAGCAAAACTTGACAGAACTGTAAGGAGACAAATACACAATCAAAGCTGGTGACTTCAACATACTTATTGTAGTAACTAATGGACAACTAATAGACTAATAGTAAGAGACAATAGCTTTTACAGAGGAAAGCCAATAAAGATACAAATAAAAGTCAATAATAGAGAAGCTGTTATAAAACCACAATCTAATTGACATAATAGAACAATGTACGCAACAAAGACGGAATACCCAAATTTTTTCAGCACATGTGCCAAGTTTACTAAAATTGACTTTATGCTCAATCAAAAAGCAAATTCTCTATTTCAAAGGATTGAAATCATAGAGTATGTCTCTGACCACAGAAATAAACTCGAATTTAATAATAAAAATATTACTAGAAAATCCCCAAGTATTTAAAAATTAAGTAATTCTTTCAATGAGTGACAGCTTTTATTAAGAACAGAAATGATCAGACATGGATTATGTCTTCAAGAGCTAAAAGTCTGTCTAGTGTGGAAGAAAAGACACATCCCTTTTCTGCAAGTAACCAGCAAGCAAGGGGGAATGTGAGAGGCATGGTAGGAACAATGGGAAACGCCATGGATGGTCCCAGGAGTGGGGACAGCCACGTGTCCTCTGCGCCCTGAGGGGGAGGGAGAGGGCTCCCACCAGCGCCCGCATTAACAGTAGACCTGCAAGGACAGAAAGGACTTGATGGTGCAGAACCTGGAGGAAGAGGCATTAGGTGCAGCAGCACAGCACAGCAGAGCCAGCTGCAGTGGGGACGAGATGTAACCAATTATCAGTAGTTCCACTGGACAGGAACAAAGGGCTGGTTGCCGGGAGTCCTGAAAAGTAAGGGAAAGGTAGAAAGGGGCAGACACTCAGGGCTCTGAAGGCCAGGCCAGGAGGCCTGGGTGTTATTCCAAGGCCCCACAAGGGAGGTGGAGGTGAGTGTCAAGCCTGAGTGTGCCTGGGAGGAGCTGTGCTTGAGGAGGGGAGATCGGGCAGGGGTGTGTGAAATCGCAGGGAGAGTGCTAGGGGGCAGGAGGGCCCCACATGGGCAGTGGCTGTGACAGGCTGGGGAGGGGAGAGCAGACAGCCGCAGAAAACCCCAGGCCTCCCTCCCCACAAAGCCACCCACATCCCTGACCTGAGAGCTCTAACAATGCACCAGAATCACTGCCCAATTGCTCCTTTCAAGGTAATGCTCCAAAATGGGGAAATGTGTGTTTGATGTTCAGTCTCTTCTCTTCCACCCAAGCTCCAATTTGAAAGCCAAATCTTTTTAAAAACAGAATGAGATTAAGCCCCCTGGACACAGCCAGACCCCCAGAATCCCACGTTTCCCTTCTCGAGAACATCTTGCTTTGTGCATTCCCGTGCCATCTCTGGCAGTGCGGGAGGCCACCAGAGCCCTCTCCTGATGGAATGCCTGAGGGCTGCGAGGAGCCTGCCTGCTCCTCAGCAGCCCCTCTCGGGCTTCCTGGGCAAAAGCCCGGAGGTCCTCCAGCCAGGCTGACCAGAGAGGTCTTGAGGCATAATCGTGCTCCTGCCCCTTGTGAGACCCAAGGCCCAGACCCCTCAGGGTCACCCCGAGGGCCACCGTCCCAGGCTCATTCTGGAGGGGGGCTTCTTCCCCTCCTTTTCTCTGTAATCACTGCAAACAGCAGGCATTGCAGCCCCGGCACCCACCTCCCTCCTGCATCTACAACCTCCTCCCAGACACGTCCTCCCCAGCATCTTCTGAGAGTAACACACGACTTGACGGTAGGAGCCCTGACACAGAAGCAAGGCCCAGGGGACAGCGTGCAGCTTGCAGAGGACCTCAAGGCCACTCAGCCTAGACAGCTCTTTCCAGCACCCAAGCCAAAGCGCCTCCACCCGAGTCAACCCACTTCCGTACCCCTTTCTCTAAATCCCCTGCTTTAGCTCCAGTCCAGACCCAAGCCTTCCTTGGTCACCAGGCAGATCCACGCCTTCATGAACTTTCTACCTAAGTTCAGGGAAAGCTTTCTGCCACACTAGCTTCTGTTTGCGTCTCCCACTTCTGCAAAACAGGTGGAGATGGCTCAGTTTCAGTTTTCTCTGTTTTGCCTCCTGCCTCCAACCTGCCAGGTTATCTACAACCTTCAAGCTAAGAAACATCTCTGAGTCCCTATTTCCTTATGTGAAAACAAGAATGAGAATGTTACGTGTGTCAAAGTTGTTAGAGGAATTAAGTGAGATAACACAAAATGAGATCACGTTATAACAATTAAGGGAGATGTGCCTTAGCAGCAGTCAGAGCTGTGGAAATATTAGCCGCTGTTGTGATTTTGATCAGTGGTCATCTCAAGCCCTGGTCTCAGCCCTGACCTTCAGCTCCTCTACCTACTGCCGGCTGGATACATTCCCCTGGGCACTGCACCCAGGCGCCTCTGCACGGCCAAGCACATGGGGTCAGACAAAGACAGGGCTGAGGACAGGGCTCTGAGTACCCCGAGCAACTGTTGGGCTCCGGGCGCCAGACGCCTGGCTGTCTCCTCACCGGTGGCAATGAAATAAGTCCCCTCACTGCCCAGAGAACAGGTATCATCTTTGCGCTTGTGAGGTGAGGGTATGGATTGAAAGAGTCAGATATCCCGCCACAGTTTACAGAATTAGTGAGTGACCGTCTGGATTTGAACTCTGGTCTGCCGCTCCAGAGCACACTTTTCTTTCTGTTTTACCCTGAAGCCCGCTCAGCTTGCTTTGGGGAGCTCAGGGGTGTAGCCAGGCAGCTGAGTCAGCTGCTAAAAAGGCCGGAGGACTCATGTAGCTCATCGCCATGGAGAGGAGCTGCTCCCCTACTGTGCTTCTCTTTCCCCTGAGCTCCTCCTCCCTAGTTCCTCCTGGGTGGGGGTGGGGTGCACAGAGAACACAGTGTAGGTGCTTCCAGGGGATCTTGACCCCCCTGAGAGTGGAGCTGACCAGTGTGTGATGGCCCCAGACAGGCCTGGGCCCAGGCGAAGGGGAAGGGCAAGGCGGAGGGGAGGCTGGGAGTCAAGAAGAGGGAGAGGGGGAGGGAGACGGTGGCCACTGTGAAGGTCCCTGAAGCGTCACTGCTCCATGGCACCTTGCTTAAGCTTCCCACCTCTCAGGCCCTGTTACAGTCTCTTGTTCTTTAAGGGTCCTTAAGAAGCCCATTTCAGGAGGTGACCTGAATGCCACTAAACTTGGGGCAAGAAGCCTACAGGCGCACCACTCCTCAAACCTCAGCGGGCCCACAGATCACCCGTGAGTCTTGTTAAGTTTGAGATTCTGACTCAGGACGCCCAGGTGGTGCCCGAGACTCTGCATTTCCAGCGAGGCCCAGGTGATGCCAAGCTGCGGGCCCGCAGACCACGCCCTGAGCGGTGAGGTTCCAGCCAGGCTCTGCAGGTCCCTTCTGGCCCTAGGACCCTGACGGTCCCTCTGCTGTCTCAGCCCTCTGCTTGCTGTGTTCTTCCTCACAGACGATGACAACGCCACGTGTGTGGAGCCCACGGAGCTGGCAGGGTGGCCCATCGCGCGGGCAGGGAACCCGCTCCGGTACATGTGTGTCACGCACCTGGGCCGCCAAGACTACATCTTCTTGCTGCTTGTCGGCTTCTGCATTTTCTCGGCGGGCACTGTGGCAGCCTGGCTCACGGGCCTGTGCGCCGTGCTCTACCAGAACGCCCGCCGCAAGGCCAGCGAGGACAAGGCCGAGGCCGAGCACGGGCAGAGGCCAGAGGTCAGCAGGCCCATTTTCCAAAGCAGGGCTGACTGGGCCCAGGATGGGTTCCCCGGCGGGTCCAGTCACCAGCGGGCCGCCTGCTCTGCCCCTCCCCCTCCCTTGAGGCTACCACCTAGACACTGAAGCTCATTAGCAAAATAAAGAAAATGTTTGGTGGCCATTTCACAGGGTGGTCCTTTCCCACTGGGCCAGCTCAGGGGCACCTCCCTGGGCTCGACAGGATGGTGCAGAACGCAGTCTAGAAAGGTCTAGAAGAGCTGTGGCATGCGTCTGTGCTGAGGAGGCCCACCCCAAAGGCAGGCCAGCTCAGGATTAATGAGCACCTACTGTGCCCCTAAACTATTAGCTGGAGGAGGGATATGGGAAAAACAAGATTTTAGATCTGTCCTCAAAGAGGACACAATTTGGGGGGAAATAAAGATTAAAATGAATCAAATGGAGAAAAATACAAGACATGATGACCAGAACCTACGTTAATGGAACACGTGCTTGACCGACTTCACGTTCCATCTCAAAATTATCACAACAGTCCTGCAATACGGATATTAGTTTACAGTGAAAAATTCATGCTGGCCAGGTTAAACAACTGCCCAAAGTCACCCAAATAATGGGTAGCCTAGCCTCCCAAAGTCCACATTCTTCCCTTACACAAAGCTGCTTCTCCAGGAAATGTTTAGCAACAGAACCAAGGATCCTCACGTCAGCCATGGACAAAGCAAAGGCGCAATACACACAGAGACCGCCACCCCTACTGAGGCCTTACCAGTGCCTGCATCATGTCCGGCTTTTTACGCATTTGTTCACCAAGTCAACTCACATAACAACCAGGACAGGTGACTGGTGTCACCCTTATTTTCCTGATGCTCAGAGAGGCTAAGTAACCAGGTCAAGATCACACAGTTGATAAGAAATGCAACAATTGCTGACCCCCATACTACCTGAGCTCAAAGCCCAAGCTCCATGCACCGTGAGCTGCTGTGTTTCCTGGAGTGCTAAACAAAACAGCCTAGTGTATGCCAGTGGGTCCCCCTCCAGGGTGGCAAGGTGGTTAGAAGGGAAAGGGGGCAAGATACAAGGTGGCTCTATCCAAAAACCCTTCCCAGGTTTTCCTTTTCTCTCTACCCAGATCAAATTCTGTTCATGGCCAAGACTCAGATCAGAGCCCCACCCAGGAAGCCAGCTGTCCCTAAGCCCCCAACCAGATCTGGTTTTCTCTCTGTACTGCCACTGTGAATTGCACAAGATTCCCGCACATTTCTTTTGAACAATGGTTAAGAGCATGGGCTCCTTAATCAGGTCCTGAATCCCTATCTCCTTTGGTCCTTACACCTGTGTGAACATGTGCTTCCTCCTTGCAATGACCTTGAGAATAGAGAGCACCTGTATTCTCTACTGACGGAGCACATAGGGTGGTGTCTCACAAAGTAGGGCTCGACAAATGTTTATTATTGTATTCTATTAAATCCTAGCCCACTGATCACTCCTATTCTGTAATCCTGATCGTGAGGGGTGACCATGGGCAAATCATGGAACCCCTCTGTGGCTCAGTTCCTTCATCTATGATGGCACTCGTTACCATGCTTACATCATATAGAGATACAGGAAGAAAAAATGAATGCAATTATAATAATGTCTTGCCACTGGGTTTCAGAACCGGGCAAGTTCACTATGGATTCAATGAGACTGAAAAATGACAATGGAACATTCTTGGGGGGAAAGAGTTTATATTCAACTTTATTCCTACAGTGGCAGGTCAGTCACTAGAATCCTGTTCACTCAGAGCGAGTCTGCACGTATCAAGCCAGTCTCTGCCTCTGGGCCTCTCTGACCCCACAGCCGCCTCAGTCTCTGTCCCTGGCACTGCCACCACTCCAGCCTCTGCTCTCCTGCAGCCATGCAGCCATGCCACTGTGTTGCCCAGAGCACTGGGTAGAGCTCTTTATATAGAGTCAATAGCAAGTATTGCCCACACGTGTGTAGCAGGAACCTTCACTTTATCCACAAATAATATATCCTGAAACCATTTCAGATGTAGGGAGAAGTTACAAAGATTGCACAGAGTCCCCACATGTCCCTGGTGCCATTTCCCCTAAAGTTACCTCCCACAGCAGTGGTACAGCTATCAAAGCTGAGAAATTGGCATTGAATATTACTAGTTACACTTCACACTCCGTCTGGATTTCACCAGTCTTCCCCCAGTGCCCTTCCTCTGTTCCGGGATCTGACCCAGGGTACCACATCTGCATTTAGAATATTCTTTAAAATAATAACATAGCTAACATTTCAGGAGCTTCTCTGTATGCCAAGCATGGATCTAAGTGCTTGTGTATTTCAACTCACGTAATTGTCACAATAACCCTGTGAGGTGGGTCTTATTACTATTATTATTTCCACCAGATAATGAAATTGAGACTTCAGAGGCTAACAGCCTGCTCACCATTATGCCGCAAGTCAGACCAGAGCCAAACCAGCTCTAACTCTAGACTGGTTTTCCCAAACACAAATCTACACGCTCTCTCAGGAATTTAAACTACCCGCAGTCTTGGCAAAAGAAATCTGAACTCCAGCTTTCCACAAAACTTCTCATCTAAGATCTTCTGGACCTTTCCACAAAAAATGGACTCGGACCTACTCTGACTGGCCCAGAGAAGACTTCTGGGAATGAGCAGAACAGATATGCAGGGGGCTCCACTAGTTTGGGGGAGATACAAGTAAACAAGCAACTAGAGGACAGAGTGGTAGGTGAAGGGTAGGCCCCAGTCCCCAGGGGCACAAAGGGGGCACACCCCATTGGCACAGGGAGTCCTGAATGGCTCTCCAGAGGAAGAGACATTAGGCTAGGTCTGGAAGTGTGAGATGGGATTAGCTCAGCACAGCGGCAGAGGGGGTGGGTGACAAGAAGACATTCTAAGCAACACGAACTGGCCACGCAAAAATGTGGAAATGGGAGAGCTCAGCCCTTGTCATTACAGCTGGAACACTGTCTATGGGAAGGAAAAGAAGAGAAAATGTTAGGGAAGTAAGGCCAGACCCCAAAGAGCCTTAGATATACCTGTGTTACCTCGGGGTTCCGATGGGCTGGGCTGCAGTACAGTTGAACCCCAAAGTTACATTGCTTCACACAACCAGACATTGCTGACTCGTGTAAAGGCTGATGTGGGGGTGAGGCACCGCTCGCCCATCCTGTAGCCACAGCAGCCAGAACATGAGCCCAGGAGGTCTGCTGCAGAAGCCAGCAGAGATGTAATAGGCACAAAGCTAAGTGCCTGGGCCTGGACAGGACACACGTCACTTGACTCACATTTCACACGGCCCAGCCTTATGGCAAGCAGATGGAGTACATGTGCCAGAAAGACAGAATGCTACGGGAAACAGTGCGCAGTGTCTCCCCCACCACAACATGGAATTTGGATGTTCCCTGTGGAACTTGAGGTACACTGAGAATCGCACGTCTAGTTTGTATTTGAGAAAGCCCACTCTGGCCGGAGGGTGGGGGAGGAAACAAGGAGATTAGCCCACCGCAGCTTTCTGGAGGAGGCGGGAGGTGACGGAGCACGCCCACCGCCATGGGTGAATCTATGAGTTGGAGGTAGGGTTGACAGTGCCCTGGTGATGGGAGGGGGCAGGAGGGAGGAGAAGGCGGGAGAGGAACTGAGAGGGTGCCCACTTTTCAGGCCTCAGCCAGGTGGCCGGTGGCACCAGTCAGCAAAGCAGGAGAACCACAGTGGATACTGGATGTAAACATGGGCAAGCAGCAGAACTGGATAGGAAGGGGCACATGTGGAAGGCACAGGACAAGGACGGAAGGCTAAACCCTCATTCTCTTCAATGGAAAGTCAACAGCATCCAAAACTGGAAAATCAAATAGGAGTAAGATAAGCATATTCTTTAGAGATTTCAAGAGAATATCAAAAGTCAGCCAAAAGAGTTCCAAGTGTCTGCCCAACTCCTTAGATATACTGTGTGTGTGTGTGTGTGTGTGTGTATTTGATAAAAATGAGTCTTTTTCTTAAAAAAAGGAAAGACTGCCTAGCCTAGAGTGTTACTGCCTTGAAGAGTAACTCCCTTAACACAGACGGGTGCCCACCAAAACCCCCAAGGGCAGCATGCTGGCAAGGGGTGCTCCCTGTCCCTGCCGTATGTCTTCATTCGCGCTGTGCCCCTGAGCTTGACTCCCAGAAAAATCGTAGAGCGCTTGCTAGTGGAGCCCACGCCTGCCTGGCTCCTGAGAAGTCACAGAATCTCACAGAGGAGGAGCGCCCCCGGCGGACGGGAAGGGTGAGAGTGCGGAGGTCTGACAAGGAGGCATGTGTTCAGGGAATGAGCGTAGCTCCGGGTGGCAGCCTGGAAGACAACCTGAAGGGACTCCTGGACGGAGACACAAGATCCATCAGGGAGCTAATGGAACTGCTTGCTGCAGTGTCTCGCGAATAGGCCCAAGAGCCACCTGCACCAGGGTCCTAAGGTTCACGCGGAGCTTCTTGGTCCTCAGGAAGCGTGGGGCAGGAAGGTGCATTATGATGTGTGCTCTGGGAGAATCTTAGCCACACTAAAATTTGAGAAACGCTGGTCGCGTGGGAGGAGACAAGTCCTGGAATGAAGTAGCCACAGTTCATAATGGAAGGCAGGGAACGGTCATCAGACCTAGGTTCTCATAGACTGACAGGGCCTCTGAGGCCCAGCGCTGACCCCATCGACAGGTCAGGAAAAGTGGCCCAGCTGCCTGCAAAGAAACGCCACCAGTTTCTTTGGGGGACCAGCGACTCCCAGCAGCTCCTGCCGACCACCTGCCTCATTCCTGCCTTGCTACAAGGACCCCCACTTCCCTCGATGTGGTGGGGAAAGCACTTCCTTCTAGTCTCAGCTTGTCCACTACATGTGTGGTCTTAAGAAGTCACTTCACTGCTTGGGTCTCCATTTCTCCAACCAAAAAATGGGGTGGTTAGACTCTATTACCTCAAAGACTACCTCAGATCTAACCTCGTGAAAACAACTATGGATAAGACCCAGAATATAGGAGAAACTCCCACAAATCAAAAAGGAAAATATACAAGAACCTTAACAGAAAAATTCTCCAAGGATATGAACAAGCAGTTTATAAAGAAGAAACCAAAAAATTCACAAGCACATAAATAGGTGCTCACACTCATTAGGAATCAGCAAAATGCAGACTAAACAATAGACGCCACTGTATACAGTTCATACTGGCAGAAAACTGAAAGCTGATGAAGTCTCCCATTGGCAGGGATGTGGGGTGAGGGGGGCCCTCAGGCACCGCTGGAGGGAGTAGAGTCGGTACTGCTGCCCGGAGAGAGCAGTCGGCTACTTAGACCAAGTAAGTGTGCGCCTGCGTTATGACACAGCCAGTCCCCTCCCTCCTGGTGTGTCCCCCACAGAAGTGATCACACAGTCCTAACAGAACCACGTGAGGATATCGCTGCAGTACTGTCCCTAGTGGCAAGAAGTCGGGAGAGACAGTAGGTAAAACTTATAGAGTGCTCAGAATAGCCACAAGCCACTGACCAGACGTACACATACCACTGCGGCTGGATCTTCAAAACAATGCTGAGAGAAGGATGGGGAACATAATGAGAAGCTGTATAACCCTCAAAACCCCGACACCACACAGGGGACCGAAGTCCTTACACACACCCCATGCCCATCCCCCACCCCCTAGACCTGACACCCTCTTACCCCACTGTCCCCTTGCTCACGCTGCCGGGCCTCACTGGCCGCCCCGCTGTTTCTCACATGTGCCCAGCACTGGTGCTGCAAACAGCCTTTGCACTGGCTGTTCCCTCTGCCTGGAATTGAGCCTCAAAATTCTCTCCACACACACACACAAACACACGGTCCCCGTTGCCCTGCTGTATTGTTGCCTTGGACAATAATCAAATGTAATAAATAAGAAAACTTATTTAGTCTGAAAGGTAATAATAGTCTGAAAGGTAGTACTATCTCCCCACCCCACCTTCTAGAATATGAGCTCCCTGAGGGCAAGAATTGCACCCGTTTTGTTCACTGATGCCTCCCAAGGCCTAGAACAAAGCCTACCAATAGAGGCACTTAATAAAATTGTGTTGACTTGATGAATGATTACAACACCATACCACTCACACATTTTAAACGCTTTTGTGAACACATTAACTGGGTGTCACTGAAGGAATGGTGAGCGGAATGCAGGTGGTACATAAAATGGGAGGAGCCTAGCACGGGGATGGCGACAGGAGCCTAGCACGGGGATGGCGACAGGAGCCTCACACAGGAGCACGGAGTCCCTGAGACCAGCCAAGGGAAGTTGACAGCGTGCGCGTCTGCTCAGCCTCCCCTACCCCGGCCCGTCCAGCCCATCTGCCGGTGCCCCCGTCCTGCCAGGGCTCTGCCTGATCACGCAGCAGAGCGCAGGCTGCAGGAAGGACTCGCTGCTCCGTCCCCACAGCTGTCGCCTCTCAGATGCCAAGGTCACAAGAGAGCTGAGAACCCCTAATGGGTGACACATGTGATGCCCCCCAGCCCCTCTCTTTCCTCAGCACAGGGCCCACCTGGGGAAGAGAGGGCCACTCCTCACAGAGCAGGGCCATGGATCACTAGTGAGCCGCCATCACTAAGCCCTTCCACGGCTCCGAAGGCTCTTCCGGCCCCACTAATGCCCAAGAACCCTAAGCTTCAGAGCACAGCAGCTGCCCTCCTTACCGGGCTGGTACCTGGCAGAACCGAGATGGCCAGCACCCAGGCCCTCCCAGTGCCGTGCCCTGTTTTCTCTACCGACTCTCTCTCCCTCTCTGTACAAAGAAGGCTTCCGTGTTAGGCAAAATAACAAAACTAACTTTTCCCGAATTTCATTTTGCATGACTCTGCCATCAGCTCTTTCCTGTTAATACTTACTCTTTGCCTTTAGGATTCAAATTTAAAATCCGCAGACTTGATACAGGCTGCCTACAAGCTAATGTTAGAAAATAAAGCCAAACAAATCAGCTATTACTTTTAAGACTTTAAAAAGACGTTTTTAAACCTTAAGACTTTAAGTGGCTTACCGGCTCTTTGCAAACAGCCAGACGGTTGAGACAGTACCCTGGCAAAATCAGCTCTGGCAGTCACGGTTTTGTAGAGCTAAGGGGCGCGGGGATCTGCTGGGAATATGGGGCAAGCTGAAGTCAATGCTAAGCATCCGACAAGGATCAGCTTAGGAGAGGGTGCGGGCTCATTGATTTCTTAAGCTGGCCAATTATTTAGGCCAAGAGATTAACATTTAAGAACAGTACAGACCAGTAGATGACTTGGGGTCTACTTGGACGTCAATCCCTGTAATCATTTAAATACTGTGGCTCATTCCCCATCAGCAAAGTGGATCAGAACTGGCCTGATCCTTTGATCTGGTCTCCCCCAGAAGTAGCCCACGGCTGGTAATTCTTCTTTACCACTCCCCATCCCCAGCTTGACCAGTGCAACACCCAGTAGGAGCTCCACAAAGCTCCCTAAACTGCAGTCTTACCGAAGCCCCCGCTGCTGCACTTCACAGCAGGGCACTGAGACCTTGCAAGTCTCCTACTGGGAAGCTTCTCAGCGATTACCAGGTTCCAGTGGAAATATTCTTGGGTTGATCTAGACTTAACCCCTCATCCCCACCCAAAAAAACAAGTAAAAAGATGAAAATGGTAACTTCAGGTAGAGAAGAGACAATTAGCACCCCACGTGCAGGAACCTCCCTTTTAGATGGGACTCAGAAGACTAGTGTTACTTGATACCTACCAGCTGCATGCATGACCTTAAACAAGTCATTTCATCTCTCTAGGCTTCAATTCCTTCATTAACAAAAATAAAGAGTTCTGATATCCCTTCCACCTCTAAATGTTTGGTGTGATTATGGGGTTTAGTCCAAAAGAGTTCTGCAAGCAAGATTTCTCTAAACCTTACAAAGGGCTTTTGCACCTTTTTATTTAAGAGGAAGGAGGGGAGGGAGGGAAGGAGGAGAAAATAAAGAAAAGAAGAAAAGACAAGACTGGAGAATGAGAACCCTGCAGCCCAGGCAAAGAGACACATAAGCAAACAATAACATTACAAGACACGGTACACACACGTGAAGATTTGCATCAGCTGTTTTAGATCACAGAAAACACCTCTCAGCTGGGAGAGGCTGGGTCTGCATTAGCGAAGTAGAAACATCAGAGCTGGGATTTCAGGGATAGACGTCAGGGTAAGAACATTCCAGAAGAGGGATGGATGAGCAAAGTCCCCAAGGTAGATGAGGGCATGGCCCATTCAAGGATCTGAAAAGGAACAACATTGTAGCCACAATACAGATGATAAGAAAAGTGAAGCAAAACAAATGGGAGAGGCAGAAAAAAAAATCGAGATCACGCAGGACCCTGAGGGCCATCCTGGGGACTTTGGTCTTTATGCTAAAAACTATGGAAAGTCATTAAAGAGTTTTAAGCCATTGGCAGGTATGATCAAGTTTGAATTTTTTGAAAAGGGACTCTGGCTGTAGCTGTGATGCAGAAAACAAATTAGAATGTGAAATAAAGACTAAGGGAGATAGCTGGGGGATATCACAAGAGTCCAGGCGAAAGAGGATCATGTTTTGGTGGTGGTGGTGGGGACAGAGGAAGTAGCTGGTCAGAGAGGCCCTTAGGAGGTAAAAGCAGGGGACCCTGCAAATGGATTGGATACGAGGTGAGAGAGAAGGATGGCAAGGATAAATTCCAGCGTCTGTGGTACAACTGGCTGGGTGGTCTGGTCCTAGAGGGACACTTAGAGCAACCAGAGTTGGGTTTTATGTTAAAATGCATATGACATCACAGAGATGTCAGGTGGGCAGCTGATGGTGTGGGTCTGGGGCTCTAAGGCACCGGAGCTGGGAATGTTGCAATAAGATTCCTCAGGGTAGTCAGCAGAGCCACAGGTGACCTCTCTGTGTCTGAGAGCACCCAGAGAAAATAGCCCAGAAGGAGCAGAGAGAGGGGCCCAGGAAAGCCCACACTTCAAGTACAGAAGGGCGAAGCTCCACGTGGCTGAGAAGACCAAGAGGGAGGAAGAAAAACAGGAAAATCTCTTCTCAGACACTGACAAACTGCCTTTCACCAGCTCTGCTTTTAAAAGGAAAACTGAAAAAAAGCAGACAGACTGCCACAGTGTAAGGGAAAGATAAAAATGAAGTCCAAATATTCCACATATGTAACACTTAATCCTTAGATTACCAAGAGTGGCCTCTATCAAAATTCTTACTTGTTAAGGTAGATTTTTTGTTGTTGTTTTTTTTTCATGAAGCCCATACTACACTTCCGTTTAGGTAGAGTATACTTCCCCCCCCAGGTGACTCTGGGCTTACCTATATGATAATGGATATGAACAAGTATGATCGACACCATGTCCAAATGGAAACTTCAGGTATGTTTGTATGGCCTGGCTCCAGCTCTCCTGAGCTTCTGCCGTCTGCCATGAGAATAGCACGCTTCTTCAATCAGGATCCTGAAACGAGAAGCCACAAACAGCAAACCTCAACCCAGTGAAACCAAGTAAAGGCACACAGTTCATTCAGCCCGCCCGTGACAATGAGCAAGAAATAAATGCACGTGATTCTTAACCACTGAGCTTTGGGACTATTTGTTACTGCAACAAAAGCTGACTGATACACTCTGTCCACAGTGAGATTTCTTTAAAACAAAATCTAGTCACACTCCAGTAGAAAGAAACAATGGTACTCTTTGTCTAGAACATATTATACACCTGACACTAAGAAGCTATTTACAGACAGTGTCTCATTTTAATCTTCATGACAGTTCTTTGTACCACTTTACATGAACAAACTGAGACGCAGATAAGTCGAATACATTTTCCGGGACCCCCAGACTAGTAAGTAGTGGACACGGAACAAAAATTCATCTGATTCCAAAGCCACACTGCAGTATTAAAGGACTGGCTAGAAGTCAGACGTCGCTCTTCTGCCTGGGAAGCAGGCACAAACTGACCAACCATCGGGGTGGGCTCAGGGCAGGCTCCACTCGCACACGCGGGCATCACGCCACCGCCGCACAAGCCCAGAGGAAGCAGGAGGAGGCCGGGCACAGCCCCGGATCTGACACCTCCCACTGCTACAGCTCCACTTCTCTCTTGCCAGCGTCACCACACTTGAGAAAACGGAAACTGTAGGTGCAATTTAATGCTCAAGCCAAGTCACACTAAAAATCTGAAACAAAGGTTACCTTTTACTTCAATTTCTACAGCCAAGAAAACCAGCTGACGTTTTGCAATGGCTCAAGGTCACCCCTGAGGAGTTCAGCTTGGTTTGCAACCTCTGGGAATGGGAATCACATGTCCCTGCCTGAACCCTGAGGCAGAATCAAACCTTTAACATGTTAGGTAAGAAAGGTGAGCGCGATACATTAATCACCTACCATTGTCCACTTGTCCGTTGAGGAGTTATGTGCTCTGCCCAGAATTTATTGCTGTTGTTGTTTTTTTGCCCAGAATTTATTGTTGTTTTGTAGATGCCCAGATGAGACTGGGTGGAGGTGTGCGAGTGCCGAGGTGAAGCACAGAGGTGGAAGCTTTGATGTCAGACGAGTCTGGGTTTAAATCTTGCTCTGCCTCTGAGTAGCTCTGTGACCTTGACGACTTCACTTTGCCTCTTGAACATCAGTTTCCTTGGTGCAATATGGGGGTGCAAATAGCTAATTCAATGAGTTGTCTGCGGATCAAGTGAGATGGAATGTTCACCTCTCCATGCAGGTCACCGGCCTCTGCCTTGAGCTGCAGAGAGATTCGGTGGTCAGGTGCCTGGCCTGGGAGCAATGGCTCCCCTCCGTGCTCCTTCCCCCTTTAATGGCACACATGGCCCCCTGTAATCGTCAGCACCACCGCAGGCCCCAGCAGGGTCTGACACCCAATAGTGAACACCAATCTACCCCGACATTTTTCTAAGTCCTTTCTATACATTACCCCTAACTTACACCTCGAAGCTGAATATATCATGCTTATTTCAGAGGGCAGCGCAAAGGGAGGTAAAGTGGCTTGCTGCAGCTAGAGTTGGTCCTCCTGACCCTCAGGCCAGTGCCTGCCCCTCACTACACTGCCGCAGCACACTGTGCATCCTTCTCCATTGTTCTCAGTGGCACTCCAAGGGAAGAGAAACGAATTCCCCTAGCAGAACCACACAAACGCTCAAAAAAGTTAATTGTAAGACTTGCATGCCAGCATCACTGCTGAGAGAAACTGAGGGAGATCTAGATAAGTGAGACTCCATATTCATAGGCTGGAGGGCTCAGTGTTGTTGAGGTGGCACCTGTCCTCCAAATTGATCTATAAGATCAGAACACACACAAAAAAAACCCAACAGGCTTTTTTTCAGAAATTGACAAGCTGATACTAATATTTACAGAGAAATGCCAAGAATCCAGAACAGCCACAACAATTTGGAAGAAGAACAGCAAAGTTGGAGGACTTATACTTCCTAATGGCAAACTTACCATTAAGCTGTAGAAATCAAGACAGTGTGGTACAGACCATAAAGAAAAACACATAAATCAATGGGACAAAACTGAGAGACCAGAAATGATCCCTTATATTTATGGTCAACTGATTTTCAACAAAGGTGCTAAAACAACTCAAAAGGGAGAGGATAATCTTTTCAAGAAATGGTAAAAATTGGATATCCATATCCAAAAAGATTTAGATGCGTACACACAACATACCTAAAAATCAGCTCAAAATTAGTCAAATGCCTAAATATAAGAGCTAAACCTATAAAAGATTTAGGAGAAAATCCAAAACTCCTAAAATCTGTGAGAAAACCTTCCTAACTTTGACTGGGCAAAGAGTTCTTAGATAAGACACAAAAAGCACAACTCAAAAAAGAAAAACTTGTAAAGTGGACTTCCATCAAAATTAGACACTTTTTGAGCTCCAAAAGACCCCAGTAGGAAAGTGAATAGACAAGCCATAGAATTGGAGAAGATATGTGGACATCACCTTTCCATAAGGAACTTGTATCTTGAATATATAAAGAACTCTTCAAACCAAATAAGAAAACCAATTTAAAAATGGGCAAAAGATTTGAAGAGACATTTAGCCAAAAAAAAATATATGAGTGGCAAATAAGCACTTGAAAAGACGCTCCACATCATTAATTATTAGGGAAATGCAAATTAAAGCTCCAATGAAATACCACATCACACCCACTAAAACCAAAGTAACAGATAATAACAAGCAGTGGTGAAGAAGTAGAAAAATTGAAACCTTCAAGAATTTCTGGTGAAAGTATAAAATGGTACAGACACTTTAAAAAGCAACTCATATTTTGTAAAGCGCTAAACATATATTTACCATACAAACCCAAGTCCACTTGAAGAGAAATGACAGCATATGTCCACACAAAAACTTGTACATGAATGAGCATAGTGGCATTATTCATAATAGCCAAAAAGTGGGAACAGTCCAAATGTCCATCAGCCTAAGAATGAATAAATAAAATGTAGCATATCCACACAATGTCATACCATTAGCAATAAAAAGGAAAAAATGCTGATACATGTTACCGCTTAGATGAACCTCAGAAATATTATGCTAAATGAAAAAATCCAGAAACAAAAGACTATACAGTGTATGACTCCATTTATATAAAATGCCCAGAAAAGGCAAAACTATAGAGATAGAACACAAATTTGTGGTTGCCCGGATTTGAGCTGGGAGCAGGAACTGGCTGCAAATAGGCATGAAAAGATCTTTTGGGGTGACAGAAATATTCTTAAACTGGATTGTAGTATGGTTGTACAGCCTTGTAAATTTACTAAAATTCATTGAATTGTACACTGAAACAGATGAAGTTTATGGAATGTAAATTCTACTTCCATGAATCTGTTTCTTAAAAGCCTTAATTGATTCCTCTGCAAAATATCTCAGACAAGGTGGAGGAGGATGCTGGGTGAGTCGGCTCCAAGCCTTCCTCTTTTCTCGTCTCTGGGAAGGACCTCTGAGTCCCTTTCTTTCAACACCAAGAGCTATTTCCTCTGGAGCTCTTAGGGTTATGGCCAGCTCCCCTACCTTCGTGACTCTTGACAGCCCCCCAAGATTCAGGCCTCCGATAGCACAGCTCACCTTGCAGAAATACTGTAAGAGTTATAAACACTTCAGGTCCTCAGGGAGGCCGGTCAGTTCTCTGCTCTGGCACCAGTGACCCAGGACAAGGAAAACGCTATTCCTAGGCATACTGAGTGTCCGTGAGCAGCCTGGCTGGAAGGCATTCTCAGATAATGAACTGTCTCTTTCATTGCATGGTTTGGACCCTTAAGATACCCACACTCTCTTAAAAGCTCATTTCTGCAAGCTAATTGCAGCAAACACCCCAGAAATGAATGTGTGTTGTTCAAAGTAAAGCCCATTTACCAGATGGAGGAGCTGGGGAACCTGATTTTAGAGCAATGCAACTTCTCACCCTGGACTTCATAATAAAATCACCTGGTAAGCTTTTAAAAGATACCATACCTGGTGCCCCCCAGAAATGTTGGCTTAATGTGGCCTGGGCATCAGTCATTTTTTTAAAGCTCCCAAGTGATTCTACTGTGCATCCAGGGCTGAGAAGTGCCAGCTTTAGAAGGGGGTATCAGGACAAGGTCTTCCACCACTAACTCACTTGAGCCTTGAAATGCCCTTCTCCCTGAACAAGGACCTTCTCTCCACTAGAAACAGCACCAACTGGACAAAGCCAGCTGAATGCTGGGCCCCAAGATCTTGTCATTGGGCTGTAGATGCTGCCAGTTCATCTCAGTTTATCCCAAATGGGTTCACGTTCAGTGTAGTAATCAGTACATATTTGATCATAACACCCAAAACAAGAGCTAATGCTAAAAACATAACTGGTAGTGCAAAGGCGAAAAGAAAAAGATAGTCTTTATTATCAGTTTTCAGGGACTCTTCTCTATACCAGGGACCAAGAATAAAGCCAGCTAGGACCTAGTACAATAGTAACATGATAAAGGCAATCAAGCATCAATCTCAGACATGAGTCATCACGAGCATTTAGAGCAGAGGTCACTGCTGGTTTGAGGGGACAAAAGACCTGTGGATGAGGCAGAGTTCTAGCTGGGCCTTGCAAGATTGACAGAATTTGAATCAGGGAAGTGGAGGAGGGCAAGAAAGATCATGACCAATAACGCTTACAGTAGTATTCACCGTGAAGCAGGCACCCTCACTTCAAGCATCATTTCATTTAAACCTCAAACCACCTTACAGTCCTCGTTCTATACATAAGGAAATGGGGGCTTAGAGACGTTAAAAAATGTACCCTAGCTCACAGTCGGCAGGCAGGATTTGAACCCATTAACCTGACTCCAGGATCCAGGTCCCCAGGCCAAGGCAGAGAGACAGAAAGGGATCCATCACTTGTGTGATGTCGTGCAAGGACTCCAGTATGCCAAGAAGGCCGGGCCTCGTCGCCAGGGCCCCGGAGAGGAGACCGCCCGACTGGGACGAGGTCAGATCGTCCACGTGGCTCTGACGTGCCGTGACCGGGAAGGGGGAACCCCAAACAGTAAGCTAGCTACTGGGAGAGCGGGGTAACAAGCAAACTGAAACGGGATTTCCTTTTTTAGAAAGAGCAAGGTAAGAAAAGCGCCTGAATAGGCGAGCATGACTAGGAAGCACGGCTGGGGATTCCCAGGGGGGACGTTTCACCAGAGGCTGTAGACTTGCCGAGAGCTGCGGCCGGAAAGGACGCCTGAGCATGAACCTGTGTCTGTGTTCTGCGGTCAAGGGCGCTCGAGATTCCGAGATTCCGAGATTCCGGGAGGGCAGAAGAGCCGGCAAGGCAGACACTATGGGTGCAGGTAACTGGGGGTTCCCCGAGAGACGGGGACAGGACCGGGGGGTGGGGTGGGGGAGGGAGACCCAAATTCGTGTAAGAAATGCGTTAGGGTGACGTCAGGGCGGGGCTCCCAGGCCGCCTGCCTCAGTCACCCGCGGAGCTCTGGAATGAGGCCGACTCTGACCTGGGGCCTGGGGACGGAGCCTGCGGCATCGAGTCTGAGAACCACTCTCTGGCGTTGCCTGTGGTCAGCCCGGGCTCGCTCCTGCACCGGCCTCCTCCCCTCCAGGCGCCACACTGCACAGGGGGGTCTTACGCTCGGGATGGTGGCCCCGAGGCAGCGCGAAGACCTGAGCCATCAGACAGAGACGGCACGGTCCTCACAGCAACGCCCGGGCTGTGGAATGAGGCGGATTCAGGGGCGAATCCCGGTTCCACTTTTTCCTGGATGTGAGATTTTAGGCAAATTGCTTAAACCCATGGACTGTTATTGCTCGTAGTAAAATCTCACAACACTGTAGGGAGGGATGCTCAGGCAGGACCCGCGAGCTTCTCACCTCTGCCTTTCATTTGCTAACTTCCAAGACTGGACATCTTAGACGGATTCTAACCCTAGTCAGACATCAAAAACGGACTGTCTCTCCTGGCTTCAACCACGTGGAGAAAATGCCCTTAAGCATTTCATGTTTGATCTTCCTCACTCCTCAGAACCTTCTCCTGACATCCATGGCCTCTAAGCTTTGGCACATGTATTTCTGGCTGAAATACACACACACACACACAGCTCCAACCCTCTTCTTTCCTATAAATGCATTCTCACCCTTCTACGCCCTGCTTAAGCATCACTTCTATTCTAAACCTTCCCCGGCCCCAAGTGCCCGCCCACCCCGCCCACCCCCACTGCCCCCGCCGCTCACAGAGGCTGAACCAGCTCCGCAAGTCTGACGTCGCC